CTCCGCTTAGCATGAAATCTGGCTGGGAGACTTTGGGCCAATCACCAAGTGTCTGGGAGTTCTAGTCCCACCTTACTCATGAAAGCTGTCTGGGCGACATTTTATGCCCAATTTATAAATTAATTCAAGCCAGAGAACATATCCAACACCTTCCTCCTATTTTCCCTACAACAGCAACTACAATCTTGTGTGGTGGGTTGGGCTGAGAGAGGGCAACTGGCCCAAAATTTACCCAGCTGGTTTTCATGCCTAAGGTAGGGACTAGAACTTGGCCTAGGCAGGCTCAGGAATTTTGGGAGTCTGCAGGTCGTAAAGGGGCCCCAGTTACCCACCTCTGCTCTAGAACTTTGCTTTTCGGTCTCAAACCGCTTTAAGGTGCGTGGACTTCCAACTCCCAGAATTCCCCAGGGGGAGCCACATCTGCATTTGCGCCAGCTGCAGATTTCCATGTTGAAGGCCTTCTTATCTTAGATGTGGCTAAGCTCTGGCACTTTTTTTAAAAAAAATGTTTTTATAAAAAGAGAATCTGATGAAACATGGTCCCTGCTCTGCCCCCCACCCACCCCCACCCCCCAAAGATAAGAATCTGAGGGCATCCCAGCTTACCTCTCCATCTCTCCGAATTCTTACGGCGAGCAAAAGGTTGTCATTAATAGTTTTTTGGGGGGGGGGGGAAATAATAATAAACTTGGCTTTTGGTAGGTGGGTCACGGCAGGACACGGAGGCTTGTTTTAAACAGCTAAGATCCAGATAGCGCCCTTCCTTTGTATTCACTTCTTGGGGGAAGGGGTGGTGGTTGCCGTCCTGTTCCATTCTTGGGGTCTCGTGGCCTGAATTCTTAATTCTTAATGGTTTCACTGGCTCTCTGAAGAGCATTGGTCTTCGATGATGGATTGTACGAACGCAGGCGGATAATGATTCGGTACTACTCTGTAACCCAATTTAGGTAAAAGAGCTTTTGGCAGCCAGACAGGTGGCTGGCTGTCTGAGATGCTTCCGGCCGCCCCTCTAAATCTTGCCTTCAGCGAAAGACCTTCCCACAACAGACAAGTTCATTAAAGCAGAATCCGCCGCGGGAAAGGATGGAGGCTTGCCCTCCAAAGCTGTAAAAAAGGGCTCCCGGGGGCTTATTTCTTAAATGCTTTCTTGTTGGAACGGAGACAGAAAGCAACATTAAGTCACCGTTGTGGTCAGGGTAGACCGGGGAGGTAGGCTGCAGGATCTGACTGTGGAAGACGAGAGAGAGCAATGGTGTCTGTGGAGGTTCTCCAGCCATCCAGATCACGGTGCTTTTTCCCCAAAAGGCAGCTGGGCTTTCTTTGTTTTGCCTTGGAAGTCGTTTTGCTTCTCAGACCAATGGTTATCCAACCTCTTTTTAGAAACTTCCAGTGTTGGAGCATTTACAACTTCTGGAGGCATCCATGAAGCTTCTTCGGTTCTCCTTGGAGGGAGGGTCAGTTCAGAAGCAGCGAAGCTTCTCGGGTGAGAAGTGAAACGTCTTCCTGTTCTGAACCAAGGCTTCCCAAGACCGTAATTAAGCACACGCTTAGTTAAAACAAATGTTTTATTTCAACGCTGGGAATTATGTTCATTCCCAGCCGGGAATGAGTCCCAAATAGTCCCTCGAGATAAGCACTCACCTTTCTCTCCTTTGAATTGCTGCCAACAACTAAAGTACCAAATGAATTATAAAAAAAACAACCGAAGTACAAAGTCCACACAGAGCTTCAAGGATTAATTCGAGCAGAGCGAATGACTTTGCTTCCTGCAAAGGTTTCCTCACCTTTGCCTGTCCTTTATCCCTTATGGGAGGGACAATCACCTCCCAGCCTTACTCCCGATTTTCCCCTTTTTGTTTCAGCTGCTCTTGCCTTCTAGCAGCTCTGCGCACACACACGCACTGGGAACAGGCTCCCCTGAGTCCTCTGCCTTGCTGCTGCCAGATTCCGGAGGCTCCGGAGGCAGCCCCCCACTCCCAGATGGTCCTGGCCCCATCTCTGCATCGGACGCGGGACCCTCATCTGAGTCCTCCCCAGACTTCCAGAGTGATCCCCGTCCTTCCCCACTGCCTGATTCCGCTGCCGTCTGCACAGGCTGCTGGTGAACCACAACACTTCCAAGGAAAAAACGAAGAAAGCCCAGTTGCCTTTTTGGAAAAAAGCACATTTGAGACAGAGTAGAACTATGTTTCTCAACCTTTGCAACTGTAAGAAGGCATAAACGAGCAGAAACATTTGGAAATCACCAGCAAGTTACCCTACTTAAGTAAGAAGATTCTGAATTATTGCAGCCAGTTGGCTGTCATGCCTAAGGCGGGACTAGAACTCACCATCTCCTAGTGATCGGACCGAAGTCATGGAGCTGATTTGCCCAGCTGGCTTTCATGGTTAAGGTGGGACTAGAATTCACAGTTTCCTAGTGATTGGTCCAAAGTCATGGAATTGACTTTCATGCCTAAGGCAGAACTAGAACTCGCGGTCTCCTAGTGATTGGCCCAAA